GTTAGGAGACAATTATCAAGACATTGAGACACCTATGTTTAAGGCAGGGGTGTCAAACTCATTTTAGTCCACGGGTCGCATACTCATTTTGGTTCAGGGGCCGCATACAGTCCAATTAGATCTCAAGTGGGCCGGACCAGTACAATCATGAGATAATTAACTATAAATAACAAAGAGTCCATGTTTTTCCCCTTTGTTTTCATGCAAAGAAGTACAAGTATATAATCGCTATTTATTATTATTATGTATTCATATTTAATGAAATATATTTATTTTTTAATATTTATAAAAAAATATCCTATAATACACGACGTGTTTGTTTATTTTTTAAATTCATCACGCGGGCCGGATCGAACATCCCAGCGGGCCGGTTTTGGCCCCCGACCCCTATGTTTGACACCCCGGTTTTAAGGTCTTCAAGGATTTGTTTTAGTTTTTATTAAGGCAAAAATTACAATAAAAAATGTAGAGTTGTCAGTAATTAAATCGTCCAGACTAATTAGCGCTGGACCACTTTTTGTAGCTGTAATTATGTTTATTATTGCTTTTTTCAACAAAAGTTCTTAACTAAAACGTACAATCATTAGTGGTTTGTTTATGTTTGTTTTTTAAAAGACATACCGAATCATTTTTTAAAACATACGTACAGCAAATATAATATGAATTAAAGGTACAGTCACATTGTTGTTCACATCATTAATAACAACTTTAATTCTGTGGAACACAGTAAAGTTTGTTGACTTATTGGGATGCGTTCTTCATTCACTCATCAGTCCGATCCGGCCAGCGTTCCTCAGCTGGCCTGGCAGTTTGTCGCTGTTCAGAAAGCGGTCAACCCCATCTTGGCTTTTTGCAAAGGCGACACGGTCCACTTCCTGCTGGTAGGTGCAGATTTCCTGTTCTTCACGACATGCCCTTTGAATTTTTTTTTTTTAATTGCACAGATATATAATTATATCCAAAGCGGTCAACCCCATCTTGGCTTTTTGCAAAGGCGACACGGTCCACTTCCTGCTGGTAGGTGCAGATTTCCTGTTCTTCACGACATGCCCTTTGAATATATATATATAATTATATCATTATACTCAGAAGGAAAATTAAAAAAAAAAAAAAATTCTGGCATTTCTCTGTTCAATTATAAGTAATAATTTTGTACATTTTTTTTTTTTAAATTAATTTTAAATAATAGTCTAAAACATTTAACCAAATGCTGAATAATAATGACTGACTTAAAGATTCTCTTTTCCATCACTGGTTATTTAGGTCAAAAAGGAGGAGACGGGGACAATTCATGTCATCAAACAACGACAACTGCACCTGAGCTGTGACATTATTAGCCTCTGTGTAAGTGCCAAAAAAAAAAAAAATTCTGGCATTTCTCTGTTCAATTATAAGTAATAATTTTGTACATTTTTTTTTTTTAAATTAATTTTAAATAATAGTCTAAAACATTTAACCAAATGCTGAATAATAATGACTGACTTAAAGATTCTCTTTTCCATCACTGGTTATTTAGGTCAAAAAGGAGGAGACGGGGACAATTCATGTCATCAAACAACGACAACTGCACCTGAGCTGTGACATTATTAGCCTCTGTGTAAGTGCCTCATTCTCACCACACCACTTCACTCTGTCAGTGCAGACACTGGTGGCTTTGATTGCACCTCTCGACCACTTTCCTCTAACGCAGTGGTTCTCGAACTTTTTCAACTCTAGCGCTAGCTTTACTCCTAAGTCCGCGTCTCTTTCGTGTCCTTGCGTCTCTGCAGTGGATCAACAGTCGTACACTGGTCCTGGTCGACAGCCATGAAAAGCTTCATGTTGTGGACCGGCCCAGTCAGGAGGTGCTGGAGACTCTGGACCTGGAGCAGGTGCAGCTGGTTTACAACAGCAGACATTTCAAATCGCTGGCTACTGGAGGCAACGTCTCTCAGGCTCTGGTGAGTGGGAATAGTCGTGAAAGGGATGAGGTCAAAGGTTAAAGATGTTTTTTTTTGCGTTTGTTCATTGGTGTGTTAGCAGTACGTTTATGCTTTTTTCTATAAATTCAACTCTGCGTGTGCGTGCGTGTGTGTACCTTTATTTCAGGCTTTAGTCGGAGAGAAGGCCTGCTACCAATCTGTTTCCAGCCAAGGAGGGCAGATTGTGTATTTGGGCACCAAGGTATGCATTAGAACATACATAGTAAATTACAAGGTACAAAGTACTCGTCTTCACTCAAAGATACTGATATCTCCCAATTAGATTTAACACACGTTTTCTATTTTTTTATAGTACAACCATAAACTTGTGTCGTGTAAATACTTATTTTTTTGATAAAAAAAAAAGAAAAAAAAAAAAAAAAAAAAAAATTAAGGATGTGCCAAAATACTACTCAGTACTACAATACTGCAGAACGTTATCCAGTAACATACTGGCAGCAAATATAAATATTGAAACATACACTGGTTCTAAACAGACTCTATCACAAAAAGTTTCTGCAATTTTTTTAAGCCTCCACACGATGGCGCCACTGTGCACACACATAATGTGACGTGTCATGGATGAAATTTATTGCTATATACTGTATCAATATGTATCGTGACATTCAATACTGCAGAACGTTATCCAGTAACATACTGGCAGCAAATATAAATATTGAAACATACACTGGTGCTAAACAGACTCTCACAAAAAGTTTCTGCAATTTTTTTAAGCCTCCACATGATGGCGCCACTGTGCACACACATAATGTGACGTGTCATGGATGAAATTTATTGCTATATATATCAATACGTCACAGAATGACTGTATCGTGACATCATCCTTAACATGTATTGCAGTATTGTATTGCATGTTTTTTTCAAGACTAAATCATTTTATTGTTTCTCACAGATGTGGTTCAGTTGGGAAATGACTTCTGACCAATATGACTGAAATATTTAGATCTTGTCTTAGATAAGCAGGGACGCCACTCATCAGGAAACTCATACTTTGTTTTTTTTTTCTTTCTTACAGTCGGCTCACATTATGACCTTACGAGTTTGGAGAGAGGTACAGTAAACTAAATTAACTAAATATATATGTATGTATATGTATATACATAAGTAGAAACGTAAAGTGATACGTAGTGATAAGTATTTATTTTTTTCACGAGTAGTCATCTGACACCAACGCTAATTTCATCATTGTCAGCTTTAAACTGTTTAAAAATGTACTCAAGCATACAATATTTTACACTTCAAGCTTTAGTTGCTAAAGATGAAACTAAAATCCGTGTTCCGTCACCTTTTGTGTCCAGCGCATCGACTGCCTGCTGAAACAGGAGCATTTTGTCGAGGCGCTCTCCTTGGCCTGGTCCTTCCACGAAGGGACGGCAAAGGCCGTAGTCGGTGAGTTCATCGCATTAACAGAAGTGAAGTGCAGTATTACAGTATTACAGTACTGGTGCCGGCCTGTTAGTGCACTGTACTTGATATAACCCTTTAGGTTAGGGTGTCAAACATATGGCCCGTGGGCCAAAACTGGCCCGCTAGGAGGTTCAGTCCGGCCCTTATTTTGAAATCACGTCATCTTCAATGATGTTTTGTCAAATTATATTTCATGAAATAGGAGGATTTTCTAATACACTTGTACTTTTTTGCAGGAACAAAACCCCATTATATTATGTATATATGTTATTTATAGGTCATTATGTTATGATTATACTGGTCCGGCCCTCATGACAACTAATCAGGCTGAATGTGGGCAGTATCTAGTAACTCAGAATTATGAATGTTTGAATTTACATTTATCCAAATATTGAATTCTTCCTTCTCAAAAGAATAGGAAATCAAAAATAATCCCGCCTAACAATGACAAAGTTACACACTAAAAGTATCATATTTTATTTTTACTGGAATTATTATATGACCTACAAACAACAATCTTGAGATTCTGACCCACTGATGAAACGAACGTCCGCATATTATACTGTATACTGTGATGTGTACAGAAACAAATTTCAAGTTAACCGCTAACACAGACTTCAGATGTCTTGATGATGCCATCTGCTGTTATTGATTTCAGGCCTTTTTGGAGATCCGGTGAAAAGGAAATCAGTGGTGGGTGACAAGGTAGGGAAAAAAAAAGTATCTCTATATACTGTGTGGTATGAGTGACAAAAACAAATATTTATCCTTTGACTTTGTTCCTCTACTAGGACCTAGGAAGTTTGTGATTGAAAAAAAAAAAAAAAAACTCAGTGGTTTAAATAAGGTTCTCCTTAGACGGGAAATTTACACCCATAATCATTTTAATGTATTATTATTTTTAAATTCTCAATGTTGTCCTAATACTTGTACTCTCCTGGGTGCAGATGGTTGAAATCCTTTTCCAGTTTGCTGAGTACGCCTTAAAGAAGTGTCCAGAACATGGCAAGATTCAAGTAATGGAACAGCATTTTCATGTAAGAAAGGGCTACGTTACAGCGTTAGCTTTGTAACAGCGTATATTCGGCTCAGCTAAACCGAACCGTATCCGTGTGTTGATTTCCAGGACGTGGTTCCAGTCCTCGTGGATTACTGCCTGCTTTTACAAAGAGCGTAAGTACACAGACCTGTGCTTTCTCTTCAATGGTAGAATACATATAATCAAGGTGGAGGAACGGTTGGTGCTCGTGCCTTACAACGCAAAGGTCTCAGGTTTGATCCCAAGTGGTAAATGAAGGTTTTTTATGAACAGGGTTTTCATTTTCACCTGAATGTAGAATTTCTCTGGCCACTCCAATGTAGATAAGGTTTTTTTTGTTCTCTCCAAAGGCACCATGGGATTGTTTGTCTCTCTATGTGGTCCGGTAATGGACTGGTGCAGCATTAACCCCACTGTATGCCCCCTCTGACCACTGGGACTGCCCCTGCTTCCTCCACCTCTAAAAGGGTTAAACAGTCGAACATAGATATATAATTTGATCACCAATTAGTATCCATATATATGAGTGAATAATTATTATATTATTATTATATGATTTTAATAAATATCAATTTATTAGTAATATGAAATGTTATATATACATGTGTATATACAGCATGTACAGTATGTATATTTATTTTTGTTTATGTGTATATATATAATATTGTATATATAAACACATATATATAAATATATATACACATACACATTGTATATACACATATATAACATTCTTATTATATTACTAATAAATTATATTATATGTGTGTATATATATATACATTTAGATAAATATACACATATATACACATACACATTGTATATACACATATATAACATTTCTTATGATATTACTAATAAATTATATATTTATATATGTGTACCTACATTTTTATATACATATACACACATATATGCGCATTTATGCTGTATATACACACTGTATATACATATATGTATATATATGTGTGTATTGTCTGTTCAATAGGAGGAAACTTTTTTTTTTAACTCTTTGTTTTGTCTTTTTCCCCCCTCTCTCCTCCTCCTCCTCTGTTCTGGATGTCCGTGCACAGCGACCTGCTGTTTAACCAGCTCTATTCCCGCCTGTTGGAGAACACGGTTGCTAAAGGGGTTTTCCTGGAGTCCCTGGAGTCGTACATTGTCGCCGACCGCGTCGGTCACCTCACAACCCCCATCATGAAGGACCTCCTGGCTCATTACCACGGAAACGGTATGATGGACAGTCTGGAGAGGTGCATCGTTCATCTGGACGTCACCAGCCTTGACATACAGCAGGTGTGTGTGTGTTTGTATTATCAGAATTGTCAGCCTACAATGATAAGAAGCGGATGTTCATAACACATCATATGATGTATTGATCTTCATCTCCGATCTCATTCTCTCTATTTGTGTGTTGTATTTTAAGGTGGTCCAGGTGTGTTGGACCAACCATCTCTACGATGCCATGATCTACGTTTTCAACAGTGGCATGAATGACTATGTCACACCTATGGAGGTAACAACATTAGCTTGTTGCATTAGTCATTTCTTCTTGTCAAAGCTGTATCCGGACCCATACTTGATATAGTTATTTAAAACAGGGGTTCCCAACCCCTGGTCTGGGGACCGATGCCGGTCTGTAGGCCATTTGGTATCGGGCCGTCTTCTTGTCAAAGCTGTATCCGGACCCAAACTTGATATAGTTATTTAAAACAGGCGTTTCCAATCCCTGGTTTGGGGACCAATGCCGGTCTGTAGGCCATTTGGTACCGGGCCACGGTGTACCAAATCCCTCAGTTTTACTGAAATATTAACACATACTTCAGTTTTACTAATTGACTTCATTAAAAAAAAATCCAGTCATATCCCTTTACTTTTTTTATTGAAAGATAATCTGACAATGTTTCAAAACAACAGGTCATTCGGACTCTGATACTAACAGAATAAAGTCTAAAAAAAATGATACTAATGATCCTTCAATGATGGATCGAGCTTTGTCTCTGAATATCTCCAAGTAATATATAAATATTTATCATGGTTTTTTTTTTCTTTACAGAAACTGTTTGCCGTCATTGGGCCACCACTTAGAGAGGGCAGAAGCCTAACAGGTAACACTACAGTCAAACCCCCAGAGTTTATTCAGTGTTAAAAACACATGTAGCTGTGAAAACCTCCCTTCTCTTTCTTTTGTTGCAGATCACCAGGTGGTGATGGGAAACAAACTTCTCGTCTATATTAGGTATGTCAGGGCAGGCGTGGGCAAACTTTTTGACTCGAGGGCCACAATGACACGGGGGCCGGGTCAGGAGTAGATAGGTGGAGCGTTAAAAGTCATGCATAAAGGCTACAATGCTTATATCATTTTTGATCATTTTTCGCCATCTATTGGGGAAATGTGGGTATTGCAGGGAAAAGGCAGAAGTATAATGATAATCTAAATAAATGATATAATTTGGAAACGTTTGGCGGGCCGGATTAAAAAGCCGAACGGGCCGCATCGGGCCCCCGGGCCTTAGGTTTGCCCATGCAAAAATGTTAGGGTGACATATTCATACATTTTTAAATTGCCAAAATCATCATTTTATTATAATTATTTGTTTAATATTTTATATTTTTTGCACATGGCTTAAGCATTAACTTGCTATTGAATGTAACATTTTTACATTTCCTCTATTCTATGTACATTACCCATAATCAGACTATTCAAATAGCAGCCCTCGTGTGTGCCTCCTGCCCCCCCCCTCTCCCCCCAACATAACCTCAGAGTGACCCAGTCTGTGGTCATTTGAGAAATGTCAACAACAAAAAAAAAAAAAAATCGCAAATTCCTACGGTAGGACAGACCATGAATAGAGCCTAACAGCATGCAGCCCACAATGCATGCACTTGTGTGTCTGGAAGTGTAAGCAGTTTACGCTTACAGCAACGTGTCCCTCTGCAGGCAGAGAGGTAAAATTACAATCGAAAATCCTCAGTTTAACTTTGCCTGGACTGAAAAGTACTGCAATACAAAGAGTGTGTTTTGGGTACTGAAATGTTCTGTTACTACGAACATGTACTCGGGTTTTTCTAATATCTATTACTTTTATTATATTAACGCATATTTGAATAATTACAAGCTTTGATATTCTGTGTATATCTGTGTGTGTGTATACTTGTAGTTGTTGCCTCGCAGGACGTGCATACCCACTGGGGGACATCCCAGAAGACCTCGTGGTTCAAGTCAAGAATCAGGTGATAATTTATATGTACCTTAAAGCAAATTATGTTTTTTTTTTTATAATATATGTGATGTAGTGTGTTTACGATGATCACCGTAAACAACGAAAGCACTAATCACACCCCGATCTTTCTGCGTATCTCTGTGTGCTTCCGTGTGTGTGCGTCGCAGGTGTTCGACTTCCTAATCCGCCTGCACTCAGCCGACTCCACCGACGAAGAGGAGGTGTTTCCGTTTATTCGTACGCTCCTTCATTTCGACACCCGTGAGTTCCTGAACGTCCTGGCCATGGTGAGCTAACAGGAGTAGATTGTGCGCGTTGTCGTCGTGTGGGATTTTCGACACATTCTTTATAAATGCCAGGAGCTGATTTGTCGGAGGGACTGCAATTTTTCAGTGGGGATCACGTGGTATTTAGTCCTTGATCCTCACAATTTTGTAATCCAGTCATGGGCCCGATTGGATGATTCGGCTGGCCAAATTCGGCCCACGGGCCACCAGTTGATAATTGATAAATAAAGACATTTATTTCTACATTTTACACAATGAAATGGTTTCTCTCTAATTTAAGTTTGTTCATATTTTTCTAGACGTTTGAAGACTTTAAGAATGACAAACAGGCCCTCGAGTACCAGCAGAGGACAGTGGACATTTTACTACAGGTAAAATCACAAATACTCTGTATCTCTTGGCTTTTGAAATTAGGCTTTTGTGATTCAGAAATAAAAAAAAGTTTTTGTATATTTATTTATCTTCTTTTTTTTTTTTTTTACGAAATGCATGGTTTCCTTATATGGAGGTCAAACGATTAACTAATAATTATGTCATGTTACTTACAGGTGATGGTGGACAACCCGGACTTTACTCCCTCCCAGGTGGGCGGACTCTTCACCTTTTTGGCTCGTCAACTGGCCAAACCGGACAACACGCTTTTTGTGAACAGGAAGCTTTTTGATCAGGTACGACATGTCACCATACGACTTGGGGGAAGGGACGGTCTTCCGGTCTTTCGGTCTTTCAGTAACAACTGGCCATTCGTGGGCAAATATATTTCTGATTTGGCCACTGGTGAAAATAAAAAAAAATTGATGATCCCTGTGTGTAGAGCGTTTATGCCATCACAACTTGTCACCGCCATTTTTTTAAAAATCTACAATTTCTTGATGCTATCAATGCTAAATAGACCTTGCATGTGTATGTAGACTACCTTTTTAAATATTAGGTATCATTAAGTGTCCATTATTTAAGTAAATAATTGTATTTAGGAAGAGTAAAGCACATGTGTCATGTCTGCACCCTCTCCTCCAGGTTTTGGAGTTCCTGTGTTGCCCAGACGATGATTCCCGACACACAGAGAGGCAGCAGGTTTGAGAAATGAATTTCTTTCATTTCATTATGAATTAACACTAGTAACCGTGTTTCACACCGGGGTCATGTCAGTGAGTAACAGTGTGACTAATGCGCAGGTCCTGCTGGAGCTGCTGCAGGTCGGCGGTGTGGTCCAGTTTAATGAAGAGCGACTGTTGGCCTTAGCCGAAAAGGCTAAGTTGTGAGTAGCAAATCGAATCGAATTCAATGAAGTGTTTCACAAAATGGAAAATGTGCATTGTTATATCGTCAAGGTTCAACGTGAAGGTTCAGTCCGATTCTTCTAATTATACAAAGCATTTGAATAAAACTTTGTGGTCTGGTCCTGCAGCTACCAAATCTGTGAATTTCTGTATGAGAAGAAACATCTTTATGACAGGATCATTGACTGCTACCTCAGGGACCCCCTCAGAAAGGTAGGGGTTTGTTTGAAAAAAAAAAAAAAACACATTTCATAGTATTTTTGTATTTATCTGTGTACTGTAACTTGAATATTAATGTACAAAAAAAAACACATTTCATAGTATTTTTTTTTTTATATCTGTGTACTGTAACCTGAATATTAATGTAAAGCAAACTTGTATGGATGTGTGTGTTTTTGTGTGTCTGTGGCTCCGGGCGTAGAGGGAGATCTTCAGCTACGTACACAATCTGCTGTCTATGCCCAGCTACAGCGTCGAGGAGAGGCAAAGTGTCAGGGAGAAAGCTCTACAGCACATGAAGGTCAGTACGTACACAGTGTCAAACTCAAGGCCCGGGGGCCAAATGTGGCCCGCCAAGTCGTTTTGTGTGGCCCGCGGGAGCTTGAAAAGCATTTAGTAATCCGTGAAGTTTCTTTCTTTCTTATTATTTTATCATACAAAAATGAACAATATTAACATGCATTAGTCTGTTATAGAGTAGTTACATCTATACCAGCGGTCCCCAATCTTTTTTGGTTCCAAGGACTGGTCAGCCAGTACCATCTGTTACTACAGACCGGTACCAAGGTGCTGAGCATTGAAGGATCATTACATTTTCAAAATAAAACATCTTTTAGAATTTGTTCTGTTTGTATCAGTGTCTGAATGACCTTTTATTTTTAAATATTGCCAGATTATCTTTAAATAAAGAAAGTAAATGGATATGGTGGATTTTTAATTTTTAACTCCGAACAACACGATCTTCTTCCTCATTGGTTGTCCCGCAATTTGATTGGCTCAATGCTATTGCGTCAAAACAATGTGTGGTCCACGGGAGCTTGAAAAGCATTTAGTAATCCGTGAAGTTTCTTTCTTTCTTATTATTTTATCATACAAAAATGAACAATATTAACATGCAAGTCGAGTGTAAAATCATCGAATTGATGACTCGAGTCTGACTCGAGTCCTCGTCATGCGACTTGAGTCCACACCTCTGTAATGCAGCATTTGAAGTTACGTTGTTCCGGTATCACTTAAAAAATATATATTATACGTTATAAAGTTTTAACTTCAGTCTGTCAGTGATTGCATTTGTAAAAACCTTGCCCCTCTCTCTCATGACACCTCTGTAATGCAGCATTTGAAGTTTCGTTTCTCATTTCGTCTCTCATTTGTCGCAGGATCTGGTGGACATTGACCCGAGCAAATCAGCCGATGTGGTCATGTTTCACTTTGCCGACAATGTGCAAGAAATCATCGCTGAGCTTAACGTGAGTTCAAGATGAAATTTTTTAAAAAAAGAGTCTTTTCTCATTAGACAAACATTCTGTTCTTTTGTCACTTGATGATAGATGTTTGTGGTGAATTCCTGCAGCAGAAAGTTCTTACTTTCCAATCACATTATACAGAAGTATTTCTTAAAGTTGTTGCTGCTATTTGCCTATCCACCACCAGGGGATCCCGTTTCACAGAAAACATCTTTCTTTCTCCCTTCTGCAGAATGATGAGCTGATTTTCAAGTTCCTCAGCAGCCTCCTGGAACCAAGGTTCAGTATGCATCTGTCATCTTCTCCTCCAGTCAAACCCAGCCACCCCCGGCTCTCGGGTTCCTTCTAATTGTTCCTTGTCATTTCCTGTCAATTAAGGGAGGGACGTCGATTCCAGAACACTCTGCCTCTGCAGCTTGAGCTCCATGAGCTTCTACTGGACCTGATGTGCCGATTTGCACCCGAGGGGTTACTGAGCTTCCTGCAGAACTCTCAGCACTACAGACTGGAGGAGGCCATTCAAGTACTGTTACAGATGATTTCAGTGATTTCCGTTCGCTGTGATGTTAGGGATCTTCAGGTGTACTGACGAAAATGATCCAATTCCACTTGATTGGTCTGTAACAATTCATAGGTGTTCGTCTACACCAGTGATTCCCAACCACTGTGTCGTAGAAAATGATCCAATTTTACTTACTTATTATACTTTTATTTATTGATTTTCATATAATTTTTCTTTGCTGGTCAAAGCTAAACAGACCCAGATTTTACACGCGGTCTGGTTATTGCAAAGCAAATTGAAACTTGAAAGATTATTTTATTTCATACCTTTTATTTCTCTATATGAAAATATATTTATGTCAAAATGTGTTCGCGATGTCAGTGATATGTTTTGCCTCGTCGCAGATTACGCAGAAGCGTCACCGTAGTGAGGCCACAGCCTATCTGCTGGAGCAGAAGGGAGACGTTCACGGAGCCTTTTCTGTCCTGTTGGAGGTAAAGTACAGTACACGCCACCACTAGGGGGAGTCAACAACCACCTACTTTGTTGCTGAAAGTGTCTTATCTCTGTCCGCAGATGTTAAAGGACAGACTGTGTCTCTTCACCGCCGAGGGGGGAACTGGTGGTGGAGCGGAAGGTCAGCGGTGCGGTGGGGATGATTTACCGCTGACCAGAGTGAAGGAGTCACTTGATGACATCATCTCCCTGTGTGTACGGAGCTCACACAGCCTGGACGAGGAACAAAGACAGGTAGTGTGTGGGTTATGTTGTTCAGAGGCCTCAGAGACAAGAGACGAGTGATCTGTTCAGGGTGAGGAATGAGAAATTAATTCAATTAATTTTGTTTTCTTTACCCTCTTATCTCAAGCTCTTCATTTATTTTCACATGGACCTTAACATCTAGTATGTTGTTGAGTTGGTAAATCTATTACCGTATTTTCCGGAGTATAAGTTGCCCCGGAGTATAAGTTGCACCAGTGCCCTCTAGCTGTCAGTATGAAAACAACGAACTTGTACATTTTCAGTGGTACAGGAGTAGCAGATACTGGTAAACGATCCTAGAGTGCCCTCTAGTGGCTGTCATTGTGAAAATAACGAACTTGTTAATTTTTTAGTTGTACAGGAGTAGCAGATACTGGTACACAAGCCTATAGTGCCCCCTAGCGGCTGTAAGTGGGAAAATAACGAACTTGTACATTTTCAGTGGTACAGGAGTAGCAGATATTGGTAAACGACCCTAGGATGCCCTCTAGTGGCTGTCAGTGTGAAAATAACCAAAATGTGCATTATCAGTGGTACAGGCGGAACAAATAGTGGTTCATAAGTCGAGAGTGCCCTCTAGTGGCTGTCACTGTGCAAATAACAAACGTCAATTTTCAGTGGTACAGGAGTAGCATATACTGGTAAACGACCCTAGGATGCCCTCTAGTGGCTGGGAGTGTGAAAATAACAAAAATGTGCATTATCAGTGGTACAGGCGGAACAAATAGTGGTTCATAAGTCGAGAGTGCCCTCTAGCGGCTGTCAGTGTGAAATAACAAACCCGCAAACCGAGCCAAAGCGTGAAAAAATTGTCCAGAAAATATGGTACCTGTAGAAAGTCACTTTTGATAATATATTGTTTACTCTCCTAGGTTCTTTGGTTTCCACTTCTGGAGGCCATGATGGCTTCCCAGAAACTAGTGAAGGAGCCCAACGCCAAACACACCTCTGAGGGTAAAAACACCCACGCACACATTTTCCACAGCCCTGACATTTTCCTGTACATTCGGTTATTGCTTCGGTTTGCAGAGTTACCGGATAAATATACATGTAAAGGATGTACTGATGTGTAGACTTTTAAAGCTGGGGACCAAACTGCTGACCCTCCGTGTCGTGTACAAGAAAAGATCCATCAGTTCATAGCTGGGACAGACACTTCATTTCCAGTTTATATTGGACATTTTTATTTTTGTGTACGCCTGACTCGAAACTGGTTGTTGTCAGTATATGAGCTGATTATTTAAGTAAGACTCGTGTTTTTGTTTTCACAGTTCTGAAGGAGCTGACCATGAAGGTTCTCAATAGCATGAGCAGTTTCATTCCTTTGCCTGCCATCATTCAACGAATCCTACAGGTCTGTCTGTCCCCACTATTTATGATTCTCACTTCGCACTTTTTGAAAAATGTGAAATTCTGGCCCTCTGGCAAATACAGTTGGTGACCCCTGATGTAAAGAAATAGATCATTTCTGTTCTTGTTTCTTTAAGACGATGACAAAGATGTTATCTGCATGTTTGTGTCTGTCAGGACCCCGTTTACGGAAAAGGGAAACTAGCAGAAATCCAGGGCCTGATTCTGGGAATGCTGGACACTTTTAACTATGAACAGGTAAAAAAAAAAACTAATGAAAACGAATCTGTCATTATGTCAGAGATATACATGTACTTCTATATCAGAAATAGGCAACAATAACACTTTCAATCGTGAGTGATGACATGATTTTCTATGATTGTTCACATTGTCAACATTTAATTTTAAAGTTATAGTCATGTACTTTCAATTTTTTTTTGATTTGCAAACACTTAAAATGAAGGTGCTCTTTAAACAAAATGATTAACTCCAATAGCCAAAACACATTATATACTTAAATACAACTACTCTTACTCTCTGAAATACACGTGCGATAAACATAACGCAAAACAGACACGACTGTATCTGAATCCTCTGCCCAAATGTATTTTCTATATCCAATAATGTTGTAATGTTGGCTCCTCTGTTTCAGACTTTGCTCGAAACAACCACTAATCTCTTGAACTACGACCTCCACTGGTCCCTGGCTCACCTGCGTGCTACCGTCATGAGGGGGCTTCACCCACGGCAGGACCACTGTAACATCTGCCTGCAGCAGTACAAGAGGAGGCAGGACTCAGCCGAGGAAATCATCGTGTTCAGGTAACATGCGTTTAACAGGATGAGGAAATGTGTTTGGAAAATGCAAATGTAAACTAAGGTACAGTCAGTCACCAATTGTACTATGTTCATTTTTTAATGGGCTTTACAGGTAGAGATAAAGAGATAGATAGGTGGATGAATGGATAGATATATTGATTGATTGATTTTATTGATCCAAAGCTGGGAAATTCCAGTGTCGCAGCAGCATTACAGGCTGAGACAATAGAAAGCAATGAAGCAAAAAGAAGCACAGCCTAGACCGCAGGTGTCAAACTCAAGGCCCGTGGGCCAAACGTGGCCCGCCAAGTCATTTTGTACGGCCCGCAGGAGCTTAAAAAAACATCATAAAGTCCATGGGGAGGTTTCTTAACCTGACAAATTAAATGTCTTTAAATATATATATATATATATATATTTGTAACTTGAATAAATAATAACCAATTGCAGAAACAGTTATTTATTTATTAAGTTATGGAGTAGTTACATCTATACAGTCTTCCATTTACAACCGGAGGTTACTTCGAGGGGAACTGTGTTGCTGATAAGGCCCCCTGGTGGAAATGAGTTTGACACATATTAAAGCGACAATGAAATCCAATATAAAATATATTAAAAATGTATAGATAAGAGTTTTAGAAAATCGGTAGATAACTAGTATAAACTGTATCGGTAAGGATGTATACATAAGCCAGTTCCCTCTCACCACTCAATTGTTGCTATGGTTGCATGATGTGGTGGGCGGAGCATGCTGTGGCTCGTTACCATTTAAAGGTAAAGGCACGGAAACCAGCCGTTAAGAACCAGTCTGTGTATTGCGTCCAGCCGTGCTCAATTTTAGTTTATTTTTCTGGACCAAACCATGTTACAAACATTTTATTTAGACATTTCATTTTTATTTTTTATAAAATTAATTAAATAAAAATTCTGTATAAGAAACCAATCCAACATGTTTCTTTTTATATGGGGGCTACAATATACATATATGCGGTAGTTAATAATGCAAATATGTCCGTTTGTTGTCAGCTGTGGCCACCTCTACCACATCCAGTGTCTGCAGCAGAAGGAAAGCGGTTGCGGCCCCGCTTCGGAGCGACAGCAGCAATGGAGCTGCTACAAGTGTTCTTCCAGCCACGGTGGGAAGGGAGGAACGTGTATTGAACTTAAAAGGGGTCGCACCACATCCCTGGCACAGGTTTGTGTCTGCCGTACGTGGGACTATAATTATCTCAGGATTAACCATGTTGACTCAGCACTGTTCTCCTCTCTCCGTGATAGACTCGTATTGCTTCTGCGCAGAAGGACAAAGGAGCGGAATCTCACCGGAAGGTAAAAACCTCAGTTTAATCCTACTTTACAGCAAGGGTGGTCTTTTAACATCCACTTACAGGAAAACAAAAAAAAATATCGATGACATGTCAACCGGTCACTGCATAATGAACAAGAAAAAAAAAAAACATATATCAGTCGCTCCGGAGTATAACTCGCACCAGTGCCCCCTAGCAGCTATCAGTGTGAAAATAACAAACATGTAAATTTTCAGTGGTACAGGAGTAGCAGATACTGGTACACAAGCCTAGAGGGCCCTCTAGTGGCTGGCAGTGTGGAAAAAAAAACATGTAAATTTTCAGGGGTACAGGAGTAGCAGATACTGGTACACAAGCCTAGAGTGCCCTCTAGTGGCTGTCAATGTGCAAATAACAATCATGTGAAATTCTATATATTATAATATATAAGTCGTACCTGAGCATAAGTCGCAAACCCAGCCAAAGGATGCAAAAAAAGTGCAACTTTTAGTCCTGAAAATACGGTAGACATATAGACCAAGTTGAAATTACGTGCTGAAGGTCACTTCCGGTCAAAACGCCCACATGTTATTCCTACCAGTATTGACCAAAATCTCTAATAAACACTTTCTGCATCTTTAGTGTTTCGGCCCACCTTATTCTGATTGTTGATGTTGTTCCCGTGGTTAAGTTGTCTTTAAGAATGTAGCTATGTCATCCTTAGCATCTCTTTTGGGTTTTTCTGGTGCAGGTTTTGGTTGAAGCAACACTGGACCCACAGCAGGAACAGGCATGGGACCAGCTGCGCTGTTTATATCGAGGACAGTCCAAGGTACAGACACGGTGACACTGCCGTTTCACACTTTTTCTTCTAAACATTTGACATCTGTCACATTCAGCCGTTCTACAGGGAGAGTAACGACTGTATTTTTCCTTTATCTCCCTTTTCCAGTTGTCCTTACTTACGGAACTCTCCCACTGTTATAACGAGAAGGCAGGACCTCTGTTCCCAGCCCAAGGATTAGATCAATTCCAGCTGAAGCTCGCGCCGCCGCCCGTGCTGGAGGATTAACGGCAGCTAGCTTTGCGTCATTTGCCTGGATTTAACATTTCCTTTCTCCTGATGTCACTGTGAATTGTCAATTTCTTTATTTGTTGAGGCCGATGTCGTTGATGTTGCACAAACTGTATTTGTATAAATGTGTTTATTTTAAAACAATATATATGTATACTGGAACCCATATGTGGTAATATCTTCCTTCCTCTTCTCGATCCTCTATCTTTATGTCTTTAACAACGGACACTTGAACGGGTTGTAGGACCTTTAAGAACCAGCACCAAACCAAAGGCCAGGTACTAGACATGGATTGAATGGTTTATTCTCAATTCTTCATGATAATCTCTTCATAAAACAAGTTTAAAAACTGATATATGTTTATCTGTTTAGTTATAATGATCTAAATTAGTAAATTTACTAGGAAATGTTTACTATAAGCAGGTAAGGATAAGCGAGGCACTAATGAGTATGTGTATTTTAACAGGTAAATCCTGAGGAATAGAATGTTTCCGTTAGAAATAGCAATGCCAAATATAAAAGCATTACAGCAAAAGCGCACATCAGATTTGCACTCTGGATTTTACCCAGCCATGAGACAAACTAAGGTAGCGTGGGAGTTTTTTTCTTTTTTTTTTTTGGTACCTGTTTAACACACCACAGCTCGGCCGCTCATGGGATTTGAACCAACGACCCGCCATGCTAACGCTACAACTACTAACGTAGTCCATGGGCTGGTTCACTCTTTTTTTGACCTTAATGTTATGCCTGTATCTATCCTGTCTGCCACCCTTTGGTCCATAAACATGCAGCGCCCCCTGCTGGGTGTATTATTTTAGTTTAACAGCTTTTTGGTGCCAATGTGACTTTTTTAGTGAAAATAAAATAAATGGTCTCTTGTTTGTTTTGCCCAGCACTTTTGAATTTTGATAACCATTCAAAGCACTTCACACTACTTCTCCACACTTCACTCCCCGTGTTCCTCCACATCTTAACCAGTATTGAAGGTTAGCTATGAGTCCTGTCTTAGTTACTCTTGTTAGTAAGTACAGATATAAAAATGACAGACCCACCTGGATCTCAAAATTGTTCCTCGAAAAAGGAGCAGATATTTGGGGAGCGTTTGTGTGAACTAAGATAAATGACATGTAAAAGTCATGCATAAATGGCTAAATTGCTTTCATCATTTTCTACGCCATCTATTGGGGAAACATGGGTATTGCAGGGAAAAGGCAGAAGTATGATGACAATATAAATAAATTATATAATTTAGAATAATTTGGTGTGGCGCTTTGGCCCAGAGGCAATGTCTCTGTCATTGGTGTGGAACCCCAGGGTTCACCTCCTGGGCAGGTTCGAATCCCGGTTAGGCCGGTTAATACCTTCCAGTGGACTCACCACCCGCAGGAAGGTTTGGGGGGTTGGTACGGTGCAGTGTGATTTGGGTGGCGACTGCTGCCCCCGCGACCTGGTAACGGATAAGCGGATGAAAATGGATGGATGGATGGATGGAGAATAATTTGGTGGGCCGGATAAAAAAGCTGAATGGGCCACATCTGGCCCCCAGGCCTCAGTTTGCCCTTGCCTTCCGTAGACCATTTGGTAAAAGTCCGCAAAGACATAATTAAAAAACGTTTGTATATATTTATTTATTTATTTTACATAGTAGTCTGATATTACTTAAAAATTTACATTATACTTTACTTCAAATTACAATGTGACAGAAATAAAAATACAACAATAGAAAATGCTCCATCAATCATTACACAGCCTCAGAATTTGAGTGTAACCTAAGTTTAACCTAAGCGTCACTTATTACTAAAAAAAGGGTGATTAGTAAGATCACAGACTAAAATGCTGTACATGTACTGTACTGTATGAACTCCTTTGTCCAAATAATACTAACATAATTATCATTATTTAAAAATATATTGTGGTATTCAATGTTTTGGTGGTGGACGTGAAGCTCCACTACTGAGACCTGTAGGTGGTGCTAATGACACATTTAATAGCGCTGTTTCGCGATTCAAACATTTTGGTGGCTTATCATATGTAATTTTGATAATCGTATAAACGTAGTCAAACTTTTATGTTTATTACTGGTTGTGTATATAATAAATACAAGTACTGTGGTCCTCAAAAACGTAAAAGCGTGAATTAAATAGCCAGGATGCAAAGAAATGTTAATTTCCGTGGGGTCCCTGAACGCAACAGCAGAGCTCGTTACCTGTTGGCTGCTTCCAGTTTGTCATTAGCGTTTTTGTGTCTTTCGGTGTCGCATGTACCGCTCCACAGGTACAACGGATTTCACAGAGCACAGCGCACTCTGCCTAGACCTTTATTAGTTATTGTTGCTTTTTTTATATATATATATTATATTTTACACACTTTCAATTGTCTCACCGTATCAACATTTCTCCGCATGGGAGACGTGACAGCCTTAATAATGAGCACTCTTCAAACGTGTAAGGAACATTTTGGTGAGTTCGGTATCGTTTTGACTTCTTTTTTTTTTCCGGCTAAACTTGGCTATTTTAACTCCTACCAGCCATTTCTCATGAAATGTCGTTACTTGTTTAAAATACTAGCTTTTACTCAAAGGAAGTTATTACGATAAGACTGGCGTAGTGCAGTACAGACGAAACATAGAATGGAATTAAGAAAAGAAGCATGGAATTATTTTCTGCACGAGTGGATAATAAAATGACGCTAACCCTTTATTAATAGCAATTAACGTAGAGTTTTCTAACACTAGGTGGATAGACCAGTGCAAATTCTCTCTCCTAGCTATTGTTTTCAGCTTGAACTGACAACCAACAGTGAAGAGGAACTCAGTGAGCAAAATAGAAGTGTATGAGTTAATGTTTGGTAGTTGAATTAATTACATTAAATTAATGAAACTGAAATTGGAGACTTAGATTTGTGACCTACTTGGCATGTTTATGTTACATACTAAGAATTTGACCCCTTCATTTACATAACATAGGTGTAGCTTTTATGCTATATACATTTTTATTTTAAAATGACACAATCGGCCAAATTCGGCCCATGGGCCACGAGTTTGACATGTGATTTACATTTACAATATTGTCTGTATTTTGTGTTTTTCACCTGGTATTTATTATGAGCTAACACAACAGTCTTTATTCTACCTAGGTGTTGAATTTTTGCTGTAGTGTTTACCAGTTCTTTATTTCACAATATAGTTAACTGCAGATTAGAAGGATTAATGCGAGAATGCTAGTTTTGTTTTTCAACTCCTACAGCATGCGGAAACTAACTTCGGCCGTAGGAGGTCATCTTCTAATCAGAAGGTCGGTGACTCAATCCCCTTTTAAATGTCCCCTTTCTGTCTTTCAGCATATGAACTGATAACTGATCTTCACCACAACCAGTTTCCTTTACACTAGTGTCTAATAACCAGGAACCAATCCTGCGGTTCATATTTGTTAGTAGCAGAGTTTTTGCGCTATCAAAGGCATTTAAAATATGAGCCTGTAATGAATGTAATGGAATCACTCAAACCCTCGCTATAACAAATGTATTTAAAGGAGGAGATTCTCGTGATGATGTCATTTCCTTTTTTTTTTAATATCCGGCCTCGCAGTCAGTTGGTGCAGTCCCTGTAAGGGTGATTTTGACAATGCATTTGTTAGAGTTTTTTCAGATGTACTTGCCTTTGAAGTAGGATGAGGAAACTTTTTCGTAACCCCTAATGCCTGAATAGATAAGAATAGATTACAGAACTGGTTTAATTGATATCTGTAGGTTTGTTGCTTTGGTTGTTTTTGCAGAATACTAAGTGATAGTAAGTTGGCTTTTACCTGGCTGTATGAATGATATTGTTTGTGAACTCGTGTTTAAAATTGGAGCTGAAGCCAGTGTTTATTTTTGGTAGATACATTTCAAGCATGACATATTTATGTTCTTCTTGTTTGCCAATTAAATAGCATCGGAAAATAAAGCAAATCCAAATATTCCAAGTCACACGGGGATTTTATTTTAAATAATTCCCGATGTAAATGAAAGCCAAATAGTATATATAGTTATTGAAAATACACGTAAATGAATCCGACCTTGTGCTCCCCCTATATTAAAACCACCTTTTATTTGGAGAATAAAAAGTGAATGCATTTAAAGCAGTTTTCAGTTAACAAATATAACAGGAGAAGCTCTAAACCAGTGGTCTTTTGACCCACTACCCCTCTGACCTCTAATTTTTTGATTCATTTAAATGCTTTAAAACACATTTTTTATTAGCTTAGTTTGAACTATAGTACCAAACAGTATTTATATTTAACAAAAATATGCTGCGGTTTTTTTTTTTCAAATACCTGGGTTTTATTAATTGAATTTTACAAACTAACGTCTCCCATGAAATTATGGTGGCAGCAATGGCTCATTTGAATCTGAGACCCCAGTTTGTACTGGTTAGAAAAGTCTGTCCCTCTGCATTGTGTCTCGACAGGAGTGTGTTTCCTTGAACCTTGAACTGTTCCTTGAAAGTTTTGATCTCAGTGCTATGCTAATCGGATGCTTAGCTAAATACCGTAGCTGATCTTGAGTCCCGGTACACTTCTCAGACTAGTCTAGACAACGGGGCTGCACGGTAAACGTTTCATAGCTTAGACACTGAACAAACATAGACTTCACCGTGGCCTCAGTCAAGTATTTGCATTCACTTTTGCACTCGCGTGCAAAAACAAAGCCAGGACAAGCCAACCGGACCACTCAGACAGTTTGCTTTTTCTTTTCATGGGTGGTCAAATGGAGATAAGCCTGGTTCACCTGCCTGGATTTATCACCTTAAGCAGCATATTATGATGTGGTTTATGTTTCTTCTTTTGAACTTCATTCAGAGCGTGCAGCAAAACGATGCCGCCCTGCGAAGAGAGAGAGAGAAACAAGGGGAGTGCTCCACCGACCTAGGGTGCAACTTAAAGTTGGTGATGGCTAGGGCGGATGGCTTTAAGTTCATGTATGCGTTGCCCGCTGCCCACTGCCCACTTTTGAGGGGGAAGATGACTTATACGCACACTGAAGTAGTACTTACCGTATGTACTATCACTTTTGAGGGGGAAGATGACTTATACACACACTGAAGTAGTACTTGTGTACTACGTATGCATGGGGGAGATTACCTAAATGAATCAGTAAGAGCCCACCAGTCACCTTTGTTGAGTGTGAAAGGAGTGTTTGTTCAGGGATTTCAAATAATCATCGACCTGTTGAACCCCCTTTCCCCCCTTGCCCCCCCACTAACCTTTCACTCTGAAAATGAACGTCACTCTTTACCCAAGCTGCAACTCCAGCAATAGGAGACAATTATTTTTTCTTTATGTTTCTTTCTGTGAGGCGTTCATGTTGTTGGCATTAAAAAAAAACGTGATATACCACCATATTATGTCAAATGTATATTTAAAAACTGCAAAGAAGTGAATATAAATAGAACCTACGATACAGTCAAAGTAGTTGTACGACTTAATTACTGTAAAAACGGTCCCGTAATGAAGTTAGGTAAATTGTTAGTAATTTGTAAAAATCTATTGAAGTAATATGTTTTTTTCAAAATCCAAAATCCCCAATTACCTCTAATTGGAAGATATGGGCGACACGTTATATATTTCTTGTCTTGTGTGGGCTGGGTTTATAAATGTTCTGATAGAGGGGATTTACCATGTGCTGCCTTTTGTGTTTTTTGCTTTCCAAAAATCCAGTCGAAAAATTGTGACATCACAAACAGTGGTGGTACGTGTTTAAAATAAAACGTGTACACCACTGACAATTTCCATACGTGCATACGTTCAGCGTCATTAGCAGAGTTTGACCATCATTAAAAAAAAAAAAAAAAAAAAAAATATTAGAGCAGTGAGACTTCCCCAGAAAATCCCCAGAATGTTTGCTCAGAAATATCAAGCAGTGACTGGCTACTGATTGGAAGGGAAGGGGAACAATCATGCTGCAAGGATGTAGGTAAACAGTTAATGACAGTGTCGGGCGTACGCAAGAGGTCTGTCACGATGAGATTTTCCAACCACAACCTTTACGACATGTCATGTCATTGGTTTGTGGGACTTTGGTGACATTGGGGAGGAATATGTGGCTGGAGGTTTCGGTGTGATTGTTCACAATTTCTACTGACGTGGTTGCGTCTTCCCCATTGTAAAGCAAAGGCTAAATTTAGATTGGAGAAGACCAAAGACCCTCGTGCAGTTCAAGGCAGATGGACTTCTCCTTTAAGACCATTTCATTGTTATTTTTTTCATTTTTTCCATATTTTATCCCAGTGTTTCACCACCTTTTTTTGAGCCGTGGTCCCACAAGGTTTCCGTTTTCAAAACCTATGTATTCTGTATCTCTGTTTGATTGAACGATGATGACAACTTACTACTACGTACTAGTAGAGTACGCCTGTTTTCACAGATGTACTCTGTACTCTTAGCGTTGTAGAAAAATCACTAGCATCTTTCTTTACTTGGATGTACAGGATTGTTCTACAGTTTAAAAACCGCAGACATTGATATTTAACAGGGATGTTCCGTTCCAATCCTCTGTTTTGGCATTAGCAGGAGAAAAATTTTAGGTTTGTCAAAAATCATGTGTCCCGCGGGAGCTTAAAAAGTGTTTGTTTGTTTTTTACTTGATCCATTTTTTTTATTACTCAGAGCAATGTAACACATTTGTAATTTACAGTCTTACAATTACAAGCGGTAAACTGTATTGCTATAGATCAGGGGTCCCCAACCCCTGGTTCGCGGACTAGTACCAGTCCATAGGTCATTCGGTACCGGCCCGCAGTGGGACACAGTGAAAAAATGAAAAAAAAATTCTAATTTACTTCATTCAAAAAAAAATTTAGACTTTTCCATTTACTTTCTTTATTTGACGATAATCTGGCAACATTTTAAAATAAAAGTTCATTCAGACTTTGATACAAACAGAATAGAGTCTGGTATAGATGTAGCTCCTCCATAACAGACTAATACATGTTTCTGCAATTGATTATTATTTATTCAAGCTACCAATATTGTTCATTGCTGTGTAATAGAAAAAAACAACTGTATTTCATAGGTTGATAACCTCTGCTACGTGGACTTTATTAAATGCTTTCGAAGCTCCCGCGGGCCACAAAAAAACGGCTTGGTGGGCCGCATTTGGCCCCCGGGCCTTGAGTTTGACACGTATGCTCTAGGGGAACAGATGACTTTTTCCACAGCTTGTGATCATGTGTTCTTTCATGTCTCGTCGAGCAAAGTACACGCATACGAAGAAAAATATATTTATAATGCAACAAATGCAGTATTATAACTAGGGACTACTCAATTTAACGTTTTCATGTCCGATACCGATACTGCAACTTGGGAGTATCTGCCAATACTGATATCAATCACATACCCTCTTTTCTCCTCCAGCATGCCTTCTGCTGCTGTTGCCATGGTGATAGTGTCCCTGTTTACAACATGTTGAGCATTTGGGTGTAGGCATCGGATTTTTTTTAAATGTTCCATCCGGGAATTTTGATAAATATATGACCGATACCGATCCTGAATATCTGCTCGTGCCATTCCGAATTATAACTTAACTTAACAAAGCAAATAATAAGTTATCAGATTGGTATTGGAGTTTTTCGAAAACTCACTGCAGTATCTGTACTTGACAAGAAAAATTCCCATCGAGCCATCTCTAAAGGTGTGAACAGTGATTGTTACTGCCGATAATTCTGGGCTAGTCCCTTTACTGATAGCATCAAAGAGTACTACTAGAGTACTACAAAGAGTTCCTCCAGGGACTGCTAGAATTTTGAAAAGAATTGATCCTCTATCACTTCCCCCATTCTTCATAGAATAATGTATTGATTTGAATCTGCTGTGTGGGCTCGAGGTCGCAAAGAATACATAAAGTCACATCTACTAAGAAACGGTGAAATTCTTCGGAATCAGCAGAGAACATGTTCATTCTCATGCTGTCAGGATTGAAAAAGTGTGATGACTAGATGGAAAAAAGAATATGGATAAAGAGTTTTTTTTTTTCCACAGGAGGATAAAGGACTACTAGTTTTCTGGTCTTTCTTAACAGTTGCTAATACGCATCTCAAATTCATCAAAAACTCTCCGACCTTAATTACTCCTAAATAAGTTTTAGAGAACATTCTGACCCATGAGGTCAAATAAAAGTCACGTCCACACACTTGTCAGATGAAAAAAATAATCACAACATGGGAGCGTAAATCTGGGTGATAACGATGTACAGACACAGATGAAAGAACAACATGATCGCGACCGCAGGAAAGAGCAGAAAACAGTTTTGTTGCTTAATAGCAATGCTGCTAATAAACTTAGCCGCGCCTGCAAAACAAACACAACCCTGCTAGCCGCACCATCGTTGTTGTTACCACCTGCAGCCCGCCGTTGTTGTCCGGTCACGTCAAAGTGACGGGGTGGCGACGCCATCGTTCCAAACTCACTCTTTTCCACTGTCCACGTGACGATGGCATAGCAGCGGCAACGTGGAATTGTCCACTCTGGAAACCCGTCCTCACCCAACCCACACCCAGTAAACCAGGCGTGGGCAAACGTTTTGATTCGCGCGCCACAGTTGTCCTAAAATTGAACAGTGGAGCAGATAGACGGAGCGTTTATGTGAACTAAGATAAATGGCTTTTATCATTTTCTACGCCATCTATTGGGGAAATATTGGTATTGCAGGGAAAAGGCAAAAGTATAATGATAATATAAATAAATTATATAATTAGGAAATATTTGGCGGACCGGGATAAAACAGAATGATAATATAAATAAATTATATGATTAGGAAATGTTTGGCGGGCCGGGATAAAACAGCGAATGGGCCACATCTGGCCCCCGGGCCTTAGTTTGCCCGTGCCTGCTGTAAGCCGTAACGATTACATACTTTAATGTGGCCCCCGGGCCTTAGTTTGCCCATTTAATTTTTCGACCTAACAACATTTCTATGTGGACGAGACATTTTCACATGACCACGATCCATCCTGAGCACCTCTAATGTCCCTGTCTTTTGCATGGACCAATCGGCATGTAGACGAGCAGAGCCTGCGTTTCAACTCCGCTGTTTTAGATGACCAATTTCAAATCCAAATTTTTTTTATAAACGTTGTCCAGGACAAATCTGGACACACGACCAGACAACTAAAAATGGCCAGAGGCTGATTCAAAGCACATCATGAGACGTACTGTCTTGGCTTTCTTGGCAGAAAGTAGATACTGTACTTCCGCGAAGTAGAAGAAATGACTTCAGCTGCCGTCGTATCCTCACATAACACATCTCTCTCTCTCTCGTTTTTCCCTCGCAGACAGAACCACTTCCGAACCTGTGGAGGACACGGACACCACCAGCTTCGTGGGACAACTTGTGAGCGCCTTCATTTTGACCCGCGTTTGTGCGACCGCCTCGTTGCCTTGACATGTTCCGCCGCGCTTCAAGCAGATTCCTCGTAGCTGCTTCTTCAGAGGGAGGGCAGAGTCTTAGCTGTAATCTGCACGGGACTGTGCCGTAACTGAGCGCGCTCTGTAGCGCACTGCTGTGATTGCTAGATCCTGGGGGCTTATTGAGGGACAAGTTGTATCAAGCTGCTCTCTCCCTCTCCCTCTCACTCTCCCTCTCTTCCCCTCTGTCCCTCTCTTTCCGTGCATGCACACAATAAGTCATTTTTCTCAGTGCCTCGACTCTTGCTCCAGACCCAGAAACTGAGCTTGTGCGCAGACATTTGACAGAACTCACAAATCTTATTCACATCTTTCTTTAATGCACAGACTTAATTATACTTAAATTTGTACTTAACATTCCTATCATTGTCTCCCTTTGTCTCTCCCACAGTCTTTGGAGGCCAATTACCCAGTGCAAGTGACAGATCCTCATGGTAAATATGAGTATTCAAATATGCATAGGTTTTTATTATTATTATTATTATTATTATTATCGTTATTATTATTATTATTATTATTATTATTATTAGATAAGAGGGTGGACTGAATAGACAGATCGATCTAGTTAGCTAGTTTGCTATATAGCTAGCTAGCTAGCTGGTTGGCGAGATCCCTGGATCTACAAACAACGACATGAAAAAAAAATTGATATGCAACTCTCTATCTCATCGGTATATAAAAACATATTCCAGCTACGGTCTTGTTCTTTTGTGTCCTGGAATTTCCAACTGCAACAAACTGAATGGTTTGGACATAGATTAGAGACAGACACTTGTGTATTGAAGGGCCAAAAGTTCACACTGCATGTAAAAACAAAGACCAGGCATTTGATTCTGGAAGAAAAGAGGAAAAAAAAAAGCGATCTGAGAGCGGGACAACATTTGAATGACCTGAAGCGAACACCTGAGACAAGTCTCTTAACGTTCCTCTGACGAATACAGAGCACAGGTTTTTTTTTGTTTTTTTTTTTAGAGCAGGTGAGGAGGGACGTGGAGATGACAGTTTGCAGTGGCTTCTCATCCATTCTGATCAAAAAGGCCAGGTGTGAAGACCCTAGAGCCTCGTACTTCTCTTTGGGAGCAGTATGAATTGCCAAAATGAAAACATCAAAGTTAGTTACAGACAAAATAACCCATCAAGTCATTTTACCTTTCTAATTTCTCTAAATCTAATAACTCGGTGGCAGTAATGTATGCTCTTTTTGCCAGACACGAAAAAAAACAAAGAAAGTGTTTTGTGCAACATCAAGACACAAGAAAGTTTGTTAAACAACAATGAGAGACAAGACGGTATAATTTGGTTATGTTTGTGTGCAAATTGCGCAATCCATTTTGTTCTCGTTACCGCAGCGGTTAAAGCCCACAGGATCGCTTCAGACATGTTGCTGCAAGAACAAATGGACAGGCTAACTTTAGCTACAACAGTCCCAGTAAAAGTAAACAGTGTAGACGAGATGACAGGGTTCTTAGATTGATCTGCCCGTCAACCGACATCGATCGGAATTTGAAACCTTGCTTATCAGGGTCCGACGTTTCTTTTTGAAAAGACTAGAAATGGCTAGAAATCATGTAACGCCTACAGCATTGTTTCCCAAAGACTGGGTCGCAACCCTCAAGTGGGTTGCAAGAGTTTTTTGGGGGGTTTTTGGGTCGTCTCGCAACATGTTTCCCAGGAGTTTGACTTGGGTCGCGAAGGTTTGTGACTTTTAAAATATGGGTCTCCAGAAAAAAAATTTGGGAAACACACAAGACCAAATAATAATGTTCAAACTGATCTTTTTTTTTTGCTTCTTTGGGAATATTCATTGATTTAAAATTTGACGCCTGTGTCACGTTTCAAGGAAAAACCGACCACTACGGCAACTTGGAGTGTCTGCCGATATCAGTATCAGTCTGACACCTTCTTTTCTCCCCCTAGCTGCCGTTGCTGGGATGATAGTATCTCTGTTTACAGCGTGTCACGCAAAGTCAAATGGAGCATTTGGGCTTAGGTATCGGATCGCAGAGGCTGCAATTGTATTTTTAGATGTTCGATCCTGACATGTTCGGTATCGCATCCAGCCATCCCTGGTACGAGGAACACTCAAAAAAAGCCTCTGTAGAAACTACGCTTTCTCTGATGCAATTTGGATATTCAGTGTACAGTCAATCACAAATGAATTTTCCTAGTTTGTACCTTTTTGTTGACAACTTATACAGGGGACCACGACTTGCATCGGAGTTTCGCCAAATTCACGCCCTAAGTCTGTCCCGCTCGCTTTAATGCCTTATGTGGGGATGATGGAACTAGACTTTCTCAATCAATTCATGGAAAATGGCGACAGAACCACGAAATCGCCAGGTTGAGGATGTCGTAGACCGAAGCCCCCCCTCTCCCCCATTCAGAGTATCTGTGTAAACAATTAGGCTAAGTTGCGTAAAGCAGGTTTATTAACCGCAGGACTTGAAGTTTAGTGATCTTTTCTTTTGTTTGAAGTCTGACCTGATGATTCGTTAATACCGGACGTTTATTTTCTGCCACAGATGCTGTAACGCTCCACCTGAGCTCCATGCCCTCCGGATACTTGGGCACCTCCTCGGAACGAATACGACAGGTCAGCGTTTGGTTTTGACGCTCGGTCTCTTTTTACTGTGCTACGCCTGGTTTCTGTTCACTGAGCTCCTTCGTCGGAGTTGTTCGCTGATTTCCGTTTTCCCGTTGCTAATGACTGGATTTTCAGCGCTACCTAGCTTCACTGCTTTTTGCATTTTTATTAGAAATATGTGTAGCCTTCGTGTTTTTTTTTTCTGTCTATGTTGTACTCACACTCTGATTGGATGATTCAGCAGTCGGTTAAATAACACATTTAGTGGTAATAAACACAACATACTGTAAAGATAAGGGATGTCTGACTGAGACCTAACAGTCAATCGGTCGACCCTGCAGTCAGTGTGAATAATAAGTTCAGCAGAACAACAGAAGAAGTTCTCGCTTTCTGAGAACTGCATTAGACCGCTGCAGAATCACACCTTGAGCGAAGAGCTTTTTATTTCACACCAGGTTCAACAGGAAGTGGTTTCGTCCAGATGAGCTGTGAGCTGCAGCTGTGGCTTTTACTAATAACAGAGCAGAAACAGAAGAGTTTACACTGATTGTTATTCTCAATTCTGTTCATATCATTTTTTTTTTTTTTCAATTTTTCCCCATGTCTTTTTTTTTTTTTTTAATTTTTCCCCATGTTCCAGCCTGTTGAAGATGTGGAAGAATGCACATGTCCAACATCGTCGTCTCCAGGTAAAACACTTCTTCTTAATTTAACCTCTGAAATCCCTAACCCTATATAGATTAAACTTCTGCTATTAAAATATGAGTTATTTTTAGATGTTTATGTGTTTACAGGAAAGTAGTGTTGACGTTTGGTGTGCCACCTTCCTTTGGTGGAAGCAGACGTTCAGGGTTAATCTAGATTCGTAGTAAGAGCTTATCTGTATTTCCTGTATTCACAGGAAAAAGGAAAAGAAAAAAGACAGACGTACTCTGTTATTATTTAATACGATTTATTATTTGTGTGCTTTTGTATTTTTTGTATGTGTACTGTAGTTTGATTGTTGCGTGACTGACTCAAATTCAAAATCACTTTGGATAAAAGCGTCTGCTAAATGTATTGTAATGTTGTATATATATATACACACACACACATATATATACATATATGCGTATAAATATATGTGAGTATATTGTTTTTTTCCCCACCTCGATTGATCTGACAATAAAGTTGACGCTGTTTAATGACGGTGTCACATCGAGGAGAAACACCTCCAACAATGACCGCGTTCCTCTCCATACGTTACTTCCGTAGTGTAATATTACAACCCCATTTATGAAATTGATGATAAAATATCAGCATAGGCTAGCTACTTCTTAAATAGTGGTGCGGGCCCCTCTGGGGGAGCATGGTGAGGTGCCGGGTGGGGGGGCGTGAGGGGCTTCCAAGGGAATATGGCTCACTGGACATAAGTGTACCACTGCTGTAATGCTTGAATGATGACAACAAGCCTCCAGCCACTAGGTGGCAGCAACTCATACAGTGGTTTGTACAGATAGAAATATACATGTGATCAGGCTCCACTGGCGTAAGCCAATGAGCTGGGACACACAGATAAAAATATACATGTTATCAGGCTCCACTGGCGTAAGTCAATCAGCTGGGACACACAGAAGAAGAAGAAGAAAAAAAAAAAAGTTTGACTTTTCGACTACTCCAAGGGAGATCCAGATTGTACCACTCCCGTTGACGACACCGACTGATCGATTTTCCTGTTAACGACCTAGTACCCACAGTGTATGAAATGAATAAAACAAAGACTTCAGCCCAACACTAACGTACGGTATCTACCACTGTGCCCAGACTATCCCAAGGAGCTGCAGTTGCTGAACAATCCCTGTGAAAAGTGCTGCTGTCCCGCACCTCCTCCCAAAATTAGTGATCTCATGAACGACAAAGACCTCCTGGACCTGTTGCGGCTCAAGCTGGATCCGAACCACTGCACCATCAAAAACTGGAAGAACTTTGCGAGTCGCTGGGGAATGAGCTACGACGAACTGACTCTGCTGGAACACCGGACCCAGGGCTCCCTGTCCCACAGCCCGACCCAGGAGTTCCTGCTGCGCTACAACCAGAAAACAGTCACTGAACTCACCGAACTTTGCCGCTTCTACCAGCGCATCGACGTACTACGGCTGCTGCAGGGCTGGATAGAAAAGGACTGGCCATCGAGATGGCAACAGACTCATTGACCTCGTGGTCCGTGTATTTATCATGTATTTGTTGCTTTTTTTTTTCTTTCTTGGTGGTACTTCGTTGGGGTTTCTTTCTTTCGGTCCATTAGATACTTCTTTTTTTTTCATTTTAGTAAGAAAGGAAGTTAAACATTGACATATGGAGATCCAGCAGTGAACCTCGGAGATCAAGTTTAGTATCAACTAGACGAGAGATTGATAAAGTAATGGTTGGGCTTAATTTCTTTCTTTTTTTTTTTATATATAGATTCGGTCATTAACACTGTACTCGTCTCTAAGCAATACTTTATGGTTCCAACCAATACTCAGGATCGGTACGGGTCCGATAACGGCCAACATTTCATTTTGTCAGATAGATATTATCGGCAGTTACTCCACGTTGCAGTATCGGTATCCCTGGTTGGTATTGTAGTTGCCATGTGTCTAGTTTTGTGAAAGACTACGGCAAAATACTCTTACGCCACCATAATCTAAAGGGAAACCAGAAAATGTGTGTGTCTTCTGATTGTTAGTGATTGGTTAGTTTAAATGTCACGTCGTCGTCGTCGTCATTTAAATCTAGGTTAGTTTAAATGTCACGTCGTCGTCGTCATTTAAATCTAGAATATGTTTTCTTTCTTCAAGAACTTTCACTCACAGATTTGTTGATTTAATGTATTCATATATGAACCATAAATGTTTTTTGGTTTTTTTTTACAGTCTCTGTGTTTCTCAATTTTTCATGTTCATATTTTATTTTCAACTTCTTAACTTACTGGAGAATGATCATTAAGTTGCGATTTTTTTTTTTTTTTTTTTTTTTTTCCCAAAAACAATCTGTCGGGTTTTGTTAATTCACTGGTTTCAAATGAGGTTTAAGAAGTTAAAAAGTAAAGTTTATCTAAATTCCACTGAACGTACAAAGACTTGTCGCAGTAAATGCGCATTGTAATTGTACTGCAGTAAAAGGATTACAATTAGGAATATTCAACAGGGCTCAGGTTGGAGTTTTATGCTTCAAGTATTGAATTCGTATGTAAAAATCTATCCTTGAATAATTTCACTAATGGGGAAAAAAAATATAACTTTATTTTTGTCTTTTATGGGAAGAAGAGCTACAAGAATGCTGAAGGTGACGAGATATTTATTTTGTTCAAACACTGATAGTGACAGTAATTCTCAGAAACAGGATGAAAACACTGTGAGAGAAGTTATAATTAAACATAAAGTAACGCACGTCTAAATCAACAACGTTCAGAAAAAAAAAAGCTCATATAAATAATGGGAATATACATGAGTATCAAATTGTGTTCTTTCTTTTGATAAAACCTTGCTTTGTTTTTTTTTTTTTTTTTGTTTTTTTTTTTACACAGATGATGGATACTGAAGCTGGCGTTAGCTGGAGAAAAAGTATACAGAACACTTACATGTTTTTTTTTTTTGTTTGTTTGTTTGTTTGTTTGATGTTTTTTACATAGCTACCAAACTGGAGCTTAATCTAACGGGTAAACCTGAAGGAATCAGACGGCATCGGGATCCTTGATATTTAGGCCGAGCATATTGGAAAGGCCTAATGACAGTTTGTCATTTTCGTCTGTAGTGGAAATTTGCGGCGCGATGAGGCTCAGGCTCGACTCTGGTTTCTCCACCTTAAAGGTTCCTCCTCTCGCCAGCGACGAATCGCCCGCGGAGGCGCTGCCGTCCAAGTATGCGGAAGGAACCTGCAGATCGATACCACTTCTTGCATCGGTTGGTGATGCGTTGGTTGAGGGCGATTTTTCCATTGCCTTTTTCAGTCTCTCCATAACGTCGACCTTTTCTGTTGCCGTTGATTTGCCGTTGACCTTCGGCAGGCGGATGCCTTTGCTGAAGACGTATTCCTTTTCCTCGGAGTCAAGTTTTGCAAATTTGTATAGATCAAAATCCTCGCTGTCATCCATGCTGTGTCTGGGTAGCCTGTGGAACCTGAACACAGGGACCGACGAGTCGTCACTTAACATATCTGTGACGGTGTTCAGATTCACCCCTCCATCAGAAGCAGAGGCACTGAAGTCGGGCAACGCGATCTTTCCTTCGACGTCAGGACTGTTAACACTCACATCTGCACTGGCATCAATCTCAGGAGTTTCGCTTTTGGATCTTAAAAACCCAAAGTCTGGCATCTTGATATGTGGCCATTTGGACTTTTCAACATTAGCATCTAAACTGGGAGCGTTTACGTCTAATTCAGGACCTTTGATACCTCCCTTGACTTTCGGAGCACTCATGTCTATTCCGGGAACGGAAACGTTGGCGTCTGCTGTGCCTAGATCCAGGTTTGGTGCTTTTAGGCCTGCATCAGCTGAAGTCTGAACAGATGGAACATCTATTTCGGGCCCTGAAAGATTTGGAAGGTTGAAATGAGGGAAATTTTGCTTGTGGTCCATTTTTGGCAGGTTAAGGTCCAAATTGGGAGTTTTTAGCTTGGCATCGGGTGCTTCCATATCAACCTTTGGCAATCTGGCATCTACGCTTGGTGCTGAAAAATGTCCATCAATTTCAGACGAAGAAAGGCTGAGATCGGGTACCTTGAAGTCGGGTGGATCCAGATTTGGCGTCTTGATGTTAGCATCTGGGAGGCTCAAGTTAGATTTGGGAGCAAAAAGACCTAGACCTGGACCTTTCAGATCCGCTTTAGGCATATTGAGCCGCATATCTGGAGCTTGAAGGTCGACATCACCAACTTCTGGCAAATCAATGTTCCCATCAAGTTTGGGTGTAGGAAGGTTAACATCTGGGGCGTTCACATCCACGTCAGGCCCCTTCATGTCAGCATCAAGATCCAGCTTTGGAACTTTCAGCGTGCCAGATTTACCTTTCTTCCACGTGAACCATTTCAGTTTACCAGAGGGACTTTCAACATCTGGCAGTTTGACGTCCAAGTCAGCTTTCGGTGCGTTAAGGTTTATATCTGGACCATTTATGTCAGCTTTAGGAGCTGACAGATCTAAATTGGGAGCTTCCAGATTACAATCCGGACCTTCAATGTTAGGATCGGGGAGTGTGAACTTTTTCTTTTTAAAGGTTGGCCATTTGAGCTTCCCAGATGGAGCCTCGAAGTCTGCGTTCGGTGCCTTAACATCAAGATTAGCCTTGGGTAGATCGAGGTCAACATCAGGTCCGTTCAGTTCAGGACTGAGATTGAGGTCAGGTGCTTTTAAATCTGCATCGGCATTGAGGTTAACGTCTGGGGCGTTTAATTTTGGTCCAGAATATTGGATCTTGGGCTTTTTCCATGTGGGGAACTTGATTTTTCCAGAGGGGGCTTCCAGGTCTGCATCAGGGATTTTCAAATCAACATTACCTTTGGGTAAACTCAAATCCGGTGTACCTATATCGCCCTCAAATTTTGGTGCGCCCAAACCTGCGTTGAGGTCCATGTCGGCTTTGGCCTTGGGTTTTTTCCACTTTAAGTGAGGCCAGTTGATTCCCCCTGATGGTGCGTCCATGTCAACCTTTGCATCAGGGACATCGAGGTCAGCTTTCGGAAGATTCAGCTCAGCTTTTGGAAAGTTAACGTCGCCCCCTATCTTTGGGCTTTTGAGGTTCAAGTCGGGTGTGTTGAGATCAGCATCGATGTCTAGGTCTGCTTTTGCTTTTGGCTTCTTCCATTTCAGATGAGGCCAGTGTATTTTCCCAGAAGGTGCCTCGGCATCGATACCTGGTGCGTTCAGACTCAAATCAGGTCCTTCAAGGTCTGCTTTTGGTAAACTCAGGTCGACGTCAGGGGTGTTTATCTCACCGTCTAATGTTGGGACCGAGAGCCCTACGTCTGGTGTGTTGAGATTTGCATCGAGGTCGGCATTAGGTTTACGGAAGTGAAGGTTCTTAAGCTTCGAGAAATTGAATTTACCAGAGGGGGGATCGACATCGAGATTCGGGGTTTGGGCGTTAAAGTCCGGGGCTTGAATGTCAGCACGAGGCAGATTCATATCGACACCTGGTGTGTTGATTTTTCCATCGAGCTTCGGCGTGGACAGTTTGACATCGGCCGTGGGTATCTCCGCATTCAAGTCAGCATCTGGTCCTTTGACTTTGGGAGCTTTCCATTTTTGATGGGGCCATTTGAATTTGGCGGAGGGAGGCTCGATGTTTGCGTCTGCGTTTGGGACTCCCACATTTACATCAGGACCGTTTAAATTGAATTTTGGGCCGTTCAGATCCCAATCTGGGCTGTTAGCATCTAGCTTTGGGCCTGACAAGTTCAGGTCTGGTGTGTCCACATTTCCCTTGAGAGAAAGATCTGTATCTCCAGAAACATCCACATTTGCCTTTGGGGTACTGAGTTGAGGTAAATTAAAGTTTGGCATGGTAAATTTTGGTGTGCTGTAATTGCCACTCTTGATTTCTGGTTTGTTGACACTAACTGATGCAGTGGGGGAGTTGATTTGTGGAGCCGAGACGCTGACATCGCCCGCTCGGAATGCACCGTCTAGATCTCCTTTGATATCCGATGCGGACAGCGAGGGCATTTGGAAATCGGCATCACTCGAGGGGGTATTCAGACTAAGACCAGGAAGGTCTCCATTGAGAGTGGGGCCACTTATACCCCCATTCAACCCTTGCCCAGCGTTTAGCTTTCCGTTCAGGTCACCGAGAGAAAAACCTGGTGTCCCTGTCGATGCGTCAAGTGACAGGTCCTTACCCATATTCAGAAGCTGTTGGTTAAAAAAAAAAAAAAAAAAAAAAAGAAGAAAAACTTTATAGTTCTCTGTTGGACAACAGCACAATAAAAGAGCAGAGCTCTGTGCTATATTTAGCTGCACAGTCATGTTGCCTTTAAAGCCCATGGATTCATTTGATCCACTGTGAAAAAAAGCTGAGATTTTACCGGTCTGCACAGTCATGTTGCCTTTAAAGCCCGTGGATTCATTTGTCCAGTGAACGATCACACACCTCCAAACTAAATGATTGCACACAAAATATCTCAGAACTGTTCATCGGGACGTTATTCTTCTGGTACCCGTACGGTGCCGAAGGTGGTTGAAAACAATACATTTGCTAGCCCATTTTGATCCACTGTAAAAAAAAGCTGAGATTTTACCGGTGTAAAAAAAGTTGCGATACCGACCTCTGAAGAATCGTTGAGACCCAATCCCAACGAGCCAAGGCCGGTACTGGCGCTCAGCTCCTTCTTGGTCAGAACCTTCATGTTAGAGTTGTATGGCTCCAAGACCTTGAGAATTTTCATCACTTCCTCCTTTTTCAGCTGGTCGAGGTTGATCGTGGCGGCGACGAGTTCGTCTCCTGAAAACCCAGAGGGAAACAAATGAGCAAACGGTTCCATCCCGTGGCACCTTTTTGCGATTCTTTGCGTAGTCACCGTTGCTCTGTCGCACAGAGGAGCTCGTGTTTCGTACCTGCTTGCAGGCCGCTCTTTGATGCCACCGATGCATCTTTGATTCCTCTGACAACCACTCCTTTTTCTGAGTCCTCCAGGACCAGGCTGTCTGAATAACTTGTAGTCTAGACAAAAAGAGTAGATAGTTATTACCCTTCTGGCAAGTTTGCAGCATCTGTTGCAAGTTTGACTTAGTCTGATGATTCTCAACCATGGGGCCCTGACCCAAACTTGGGCCACGGACGACACCGAGGAGGGTCGCAAAAAAAAAAAAAAAAAAAAACGTTCAGTTTTGCACCTGTGGGCCGTCGGACTAGATTATCGTTTATCAACTGAAAATGTATAATGTAGCTTTCGACCATGTGGTGGCGGTATAGCATCAGTCGCTTGTTTAACAAGCTTTAAATCTCTACGCTAGCTGTAGCAAAAAAAAAAAATATGGAGACGTTTTTAAAATGAAAAAAATGATGACGAACAACTAGCGGACCCACCCCCCGCGAAAAAAGTTTTGCGTAGGTACAATTCTGTGTCCGTCAAGTACAGCTTTTTGCTTACTAAACTGTTAGTGGATTTTTGTTTTTTTAATTGAATGTAACTCAAACAAACCACCCATTATTGGGCCCCCGGACCTCTTCGTACTATAAAAATTGGGCCCCCAAGGTCAAGTTCAAGGTTAGTCATGTACTCACCATCATCTTGTGACCGTTTACATCCACATATCTTGGAAAAGTACGTTAAAAAGCCATAAACCACTCAGACACAACGCTGGCACGAAATTTGCTGGAAACAAAAAGCAAACAGAAACCACATTAGTCAGGATGGAAACTCTCACTACTGTCTCACACATCAGCCCACGCAGGAGGTCAACAACATTTGTATTTTGAAGGATGTTCCAGTAATGATTTCAATCATTTTTTTTTTATTCGACTGCTGTTTGCCATCTGGTAGTCCTTTCTCTGATGGCATCACGCTCATGAATTTGGTTTTCATTCCAGTCAAGGGGTATATGTGATGAATGTAAACTGTGAAAACCACAACAAAGAATTACCCGACCTCTGGTATTTCAAATTTGTTTGAAGTGACTCACTTCAGGCGCAGGCGCAAACTTTTTGACTCGTGGGCCACAACTGTGCTAAAATTTGAATTTGAAAGTCACGCATAGAGGCTAAAATGCTATAATGCTTTTATCATTTTTCTGCGCCATCTATTGGGGAAACGTGGGTATTGCAGGGAAAAGGCAGAAGTGTAATGATAATATGAATGAAATGATATCATTTGGGAAAGTTTGGCGGGTCAGATTAAAAAGCCGAACGGGCCACATGCGGCCCCCGAGCCTTAGTTTTGCTAATGCCTGCTCTAAGACAATTGATATATATATATATAAAAAAAAACTAAACTGCTGAAACTGATGGACCTCAGCGAATATCAAATGAAATCTGTAGCAGATTTTTTTTTTTTATTTTTAGTGGATCGTAAAACCTCGGTAGAATACCTTCGACGCGATTCATTAAATCCAACCCCGGGGGCCTCAGGTCTACGCATACCTGCCTGTGTTTACCTTCTGCTTTATTTTTCTAACCCCACCTGTAAGAGCGAGAAGACGCCCATACATTCATGTCACCTCACACCTCAGGAATCCAAAGCTCTCTGCCAGGATTGGTCAGGGGGAATGTGAGCGTCCAAACCAGTCAGATAGGATGCATTCTGACTGACAGGTCACATAGCTGAAGAGCCACTGACACACACACACACAACCACACCCCGACATCTTCACATTTAAATGCCAGTGCTCTTCCAGTGCAATTAGCATATCAATATGGACGTTGTTGACGATAATGAAAAAAAAAAAAAAAAAGAAAGAAAAACAACAGCAGCAGTTTTTCTTCCTCTCGCGTCCGAACCGTATCAAGTGGAAACTGAAAAACAAATCTCCGCAGCTTCAACTTCTCACCGACAGATGCTGCAGCTAAAGATTAGGATGTTTTCAAATTCACATCAACATTGCAAAAAAAAACCAGCTTAGAGACAGTAGAGAAATCGTGCACGCAAAGTGTGAGAGACTACAAGGAAAATTAGTCATAAGGCGATGACGGTCGTCGCAGCGCGAAGCTGCTTCTTAAGGAAACGTAAGACATAACATCTCGTTTCCTACCTTCTTCAGACTAGACATTAGCAACACAAAAAAAAAAAGATTGCAACCAAAATTCACGTGAAGCAAATTGAACATTTGTCAGAAACTGCAAGCTGAAGAGTGACCTTTAACATATCTGTCCAATAAATCAGAATATACCGTGGGTGTATCCTGTGGAACAGGGTGGCACCACCAACACAACAATGTAATTAAATTTTAAAAAAATCAATAAAAAAAATCCACTTGCACGTGCATTTCAAATAATAAAAGACACTTTGTAACAAAAAAAAAAAAAAAAAAAATATAGATTAAAAAACATCTGAAGCGCCAAATGTGACAGAAAATGATACCTGAAATTATTCACATTTGCATGGGATTTTTTTTTTTTTTTTTTTTTTCATCATCTATAGCTATTAGATTTCAATCTTAGATCAGTGCCACGAAGCCACAAGCGACCTGGACGTTCGATGGACTCACCGTACGCTGCACAGACTCCAGCACCTGAGGAAAGGCCAAGGAGAGAGGAAGAGACGGGAGGGAGGGAGAGAGGTCTCCTCTTCCTCTGAGAATCACGTCTGCTCTGTCAGAGAGGATGGGATGGATCTGCCTGTTAAACACCTGTGCGCTCAGAGGCAGCCAGGAGAACAGGTTAGGCCGCGTCAGCACCGCCTCCTTTAGCCATCTCACACACACACTCACACACACACGCTTGACTTCAAAGTCTGAGCGCACCCGAAACCCGAAGGCAGAAACACTGAGACACACCACTCCTTCCTAACAGGACTAACCAGGTTTTCAGCAAAGGTCTTACATAAACACACACACACACACAAGAGCATTTCTTGCATTCATTTTATATGACAGACCATTGCACACAAATGTGTCATTATGTCACCCATGCTAGTTTACAGTGGCCCCGGCTGGACGCACATATTGCCGTCACTCACTTTGTTCCAAATTTTTTGTTGTTGTTTTTTTTCTTTTTGCACTTAAAAAAAAAAAATCAATAAATAGCACATCTGTTACAAAGGTGGTTTAAGGGAGGGGGGCCCCAGACTTTGTAGATGCCCCTCCCACTCCCTGCAGGTCGACTCATACTTCAATCGGCCACTGAACTTTCTTTCTCAAGAACGGGAACAAAATGACAAATTACTGCACCTCCGTCCCCCCCCAAAAAAAAAATAATATAAAAAATCAACTTCATAGTGAGGTTGTACATCATGGGAGTTCCCTCTGCAGTCTAGGCCTAAGGTTAACCCAGAGGATGGCAACCCTGGGTCACCTCATGTGACTCTAATAAATATTGAACATCTACGATGAATTTATTTTATTGTTATATTTTATCATTATAAAAGTTAATTACAATTTTTTTTAAATTGTATTTATAAATAAATTATCGATTTGTTTTAATATTTCAATTATTTCAAAAATGTTGCACGACACGTATGCACATACACGGTGTTATCTTCATTTTAAATATCAATTTAAATTTTTTTTTTTTTTTTTTTTTTTTTTGTAGAAAAGTGGTCCTCATGGCTCTCAGAGAGCTTAAGGCGGTCCAGCTCTGTGTTAACCAATGACATCCATCGAACAGGTCCGTCTCTCCTGGGGTGATCAGTCTCATCATCCTCACCTGTGTTTCCCCTCTGCTCCTGCCTGCTCTGTGTTCTCTGTAAGTTGGTTTTTTTTTATTATTATTATTATTATTATTTCCTGTTCTTAGACAATAATAGACCTGTGTTTTGTTTTCCTTGTTATGAAATCTTTAATGAACAATTTGTCCATTCATTACGTGCATTACAATGAATGAGAGTTTTGACTTATATCTGAACACGGTCAAAGATCAAACCAGTCAACAAGAGGGTCAGAAACTGCACTGTTACTGGTGCTTTTTGAATCGGTTCTACTATTGAACACATTGAACGGGAAGTCTGTATCAAACAAGTAGCTCTTCATATTACCAAGTACCCTTGAAGTAGCTCTCATTTTTCAAAAAGGTCGGTGACCCCTGGTTTACGGGAAGCCGGTGGAGAGAAGCTAGAACTGGATAATGGTCCATCCGTCCAGTCCAAGTCTCTTCAACGGTTCCTGTCTTCCAGAGTTCTTGTCCTTGAAGAGGGTAAAATCGGTAATCACAACCTGAAGGATATTTAAGGAGAAACAAACATTCACACTGCAGCCTGAGGGCCAGGGTGATGTCATCTGATGTGATAATAACGTCAGATTAAGCATATCTTGTTGCTGACAAAGTTTCAAATTAGGAAGTCGTCCAATTCAGTGTCAATAAATCAACCTGTTTCCTGTCAGCTGTGCAACAATGGAAGTTAATTTTATGCTCATTTAATCACTGGCTATTTGATCAAAAAAAAAAAAAAAACACGCGTGGGCCGGAGACAGGCCGCGTCTTAATTGATGTTGACAATCATAATGATATTGTGTCTTCATAGACTTCTCCGCCCCAAAGTCGGCAGGATGCACTCTCTCTCTCCTCATTGGCCCAAAATGGTGCAGAAATATAATAATCTCATAATTTGGAAAACCAAAAAATTACAGCCATGTTCCACAGATAGAGAACACTTTAAAAAAAAACAGATTTATTTTTCATACATTTTTTTGATCAAACTCAATATATATATATATGTATATATATATGTTACATTTTTTCCCAGTAGGCATTGCTAAATGCTATTTTACGACAATATTTGACTTACGATTGAACATGTGTGAGGTCCAAAATGTGTGGTCCGTGACGCAACGGTGTATTATGTAAACAAATCGTAAACAAACGCGATGGCCGTTTAAAAAGATATACTTCAACGTGACGGTAATGCGGTAAATGCTACCTGTGAGCGGTTAACAGGCATCTGCGCCGTATCAAAGGAGTTTTAGCGTTAGCCCTGTGCTAAGACAATGCGATTTACAGTGTTGTTTTTTTTTTTTTTTTTTTTTTTTTTTTTGCATTCTGCTATAAGGCATGTCAGTTATTTCGCAGTATCCGGTTTCTAGGTATTCTAGACACCGACTGCGTACCAAGCGGTGAGTCACTACCCAACCCATCCAAGCAATTAACGCCGTGTGATAGCAGAGTGAGAGGGTGTTGCCGGGGGAAGACAACAGCTGAACAATGAGCGATAGAAACTCCACGCCAGGTTTCTTGTTCTCCGCAGCCGGAGATCTTTAAGGACAAGAACATCACACAGGGAATTCCAGTGCTGTTTGGACAACGCATGGAAATGATTGAACGTGTCCCCCAACGTCAGTGCATGTCAATGAGGCATAATTGGCCAAAGGACGCTAACTGTGTATGTCTAGATTTGTAAAAAAAAAATATCAGGGTCTCAAACCCCTGGTCCACGGGCTGTAGATGGCCTACAAACCTCTCACGTCTGTCCCGTTCTAGATGTCAATAATAACGTAGGTCTTCACCGAGGTGCTGTGGTTACACAGAGGGAACAGTGATGAAGACGCTGAAGACGTGACGGGTTGTTTTAATAGTTAGCTAAAATGCGTTTTTCAGTCGTTTCAAATGAACGCAGAAAGAAAAATTTGGGGTTTTTTGGTTTTTGTTTTTTTTTTGTAATCACCTTAACATGCGTTTCTAGATCACATCAAAATCAGCAACATCGGAAGCTAGCTCGTTTAAGCCATTTCCCCCCTTTTTGTGAGCTAGCTTCTTTATGATTTATATATATATATATTTTTTTAATAATTAGCTATGGATGTATGACAAATGAATCAGTCATTTATCGTGGAATAGAAAATCAGTAGAATGCTCATCTGCTCCCCCTACCGCATCGTTTTGGAATTAGCTCAACAGACCCTGATTGGAAATCAGTAGAAGAGGGAAACAAAGTGAACATTAATTAGGGATTTCCGATAATATCGGCCAACCGATATTAGCTTAGATGTGCAATATTGGTAAGAATCGCTATCGGTTTGTCCTTACGATAACGAAAACCCGATAACTCAACATCTGGGTTTCGCCCAGATGGTTGCACACAATGAAATATGCATATATCAGAATGTTTCGACAACATCGGCATATCGGCAAAAAGTTAATATCGGACATTCCTATTATTAATGTAATGCTTTCTACGACGCACGTTTGCGCAATGATTAAAACAATGAATTTAAAAAAAATATGTCGCTACATTTTTGTCACAGCCTTAACAACAGGTGTGTAATGCCCAACCGCTTAGTCAGAGCAGCTGTAGCACTGCCTGTCCCGGCTCAGGCGTGTCTGTCGTGACGTAGGTGTCTGGAGGAGTGTTAGCTTTACAGCGTAATAATCCGT